GTGAAAGGAGGATGACGTGCAAGACAATTGTGAAAGGTTCAGGTCAGGAAAGATTCAGTGCTAACACTGGCTGGGTTAAACTGATCTGTGTGCCAGTCAGGATGGTCACAGGTCCCTGAGCCCTTTGCTGAAGCAAGCTGTGGTGGGGTACAGGGTGCTGTCCATGAGTCCATGATGTCTGTTAGGTGTGTGCACAGCATGAAAGGAGCCCCCAATGAGGGTGGCAAAGCTGAGAGCAGCAAGAGAGCCCTGTGCACAGGAGGGTGAAGGAAGTGATTGTGCTGGGCAGCACAGCTTCCCCTGGTGCTCAGTACATACCCTGACCTCACTCAATGCTCTTTACTAAACATGGGATCATTTGACCTAAGTGGGAGACCATTGTAGAAAACAAACCAACTAAAGACACCTGAGCAGAAACAAGTAAGACTGCCAGGAGATGTGCTAAACATTATTTCAGTTTTCAAACTGGGATAGCGGCTGAGTCCATATTTAAACACCTAATTAGCCACTGCAGGCTTCAGTTTGAAATTTGGCTTCTCATTACTTTTTGAAAATGCATTCCATAGGGAAACTGCTGCTGGAGACAGCACCATGGAGATAAGTGGAAAAATCAGCTAATCAGCTTCTGGTGGAATAAAAGAAAAAAAGAAAAAAAAGATGAAGAAAAAGAATAAAATCAGCAAACCTCAAGGCACTCACTCCAGAATGGAATACCTACATATTTTCTTCGTGCAAAAATTCAAAACAATGCCTTTCTTTTCTCCTCCTGAATTTTTGCAGTAGTAAGTCAAACCTGTAGCTCATATTGCAAAAAAAATCTTAAGCCAGAAGTAAGAACTTCTGCTAAAAAATATTTGGACACGAAATGCAGAACCTGCTTTATCCTGACCCTTTATTCATCAGTATAGAATCCATAAAACATTATTTTTAAAGGAAGAAGAAGGTTTTGTGTATTGGTGTTCTCTTGGAGAGATTTCAAAGCAGCGAATTAAACTCTACCTGCCTTAACTCCTCCTGTACTTTTCATTTAGTGAGTTGTGCATTGCCCTGTTTTATCAGCATTGACTCAGCAAAATGCTATGGAGGGGCATCCTCTGAGGCATCCCACTGTTTTCTGTGGTAAGAAGATGGTCCACAGCAAGCCCCACTTAAACAAGGGAGAGAGCATGACCTTCTCCAAGCTACTGATGCCAGGCATGCTGTGTTTTCTCACTGAACCTCTTCCCCCTATGTCCTTGCTCCACTTTCCCTAGCTGCTGACTGTGTACAGGCTTGCCATACCTCGGCACATGCTGCCTGGCATCGCCCAAGCTGGGTGGGCAGTATTTATTAGGATGTATCCCTGGGCATTGAACACCAGTGCTTCCTTATCTCTCTAGCTGATTGAGCAGCACCCACTGGGAGCTGGGAGCTGGCTGGTTGCCTAGTTAGGAGGCAGAGTTTCTCTGCTTAAGAGTGCCTGCCTGGCTGTAAAGCATCAATGCCCTGGGTCCTCAAAGCAGCAAAAGTCCAACTGCCACAGGCACTGCGTGTGCTCTGCTCTGCTAGCACAGTTTGCTGGTGAGCTGTGTTCTGCTTGGATGGTTTTCCTCTTGTATGCACTTTGATTTCTGAAAGATTTTAGAACTTTCAGAAAACGTGGAAATGCCAATAAATAATGTCAATATTATTTTACTTACTATGCAATTATACTTTTATTCATTATAAAAAATGTGCATACAGAGCATAAAGTGCCAAGAGAGGATAGATTTAGATGCATAAGCTTTAAAGCCAGATAATTCCATGTGTAAGAGGAATACATTTTATGGTTTTAAACTAAAAGAGGGTAGATTTACATTGAACAAAAGAAAGAAATTTTTATGGTAGGGGTAGTGAGGCAGAGAAATGCGTTGTCCAGAGACAGTGTGGATGCCCCATCCATTCAAAGCCAGGTTGGATGAGACTTTGAGAAATCTTGTCAAGTGGAAATATGTCTCTTCTTATGGTAGGTTAGAGGAATTAGGTGATCTTTAAGCTTCCAACCCAAACCCTTCTGTGATTCTACATGTGTGTTCTTAGGAGACAGAATCGTGGTGTAAGTTCAGGTGCCTATTTTTCTGATACATAAAATCAACACTGGATCTAATGAAGTCAAACAACTAGTGTTGTTTTATTTTTTCAATGTAGCATTTAAACAACATGATTCTAATAAAATGGGGTCTGACAAAAAACAGTTCAACAAAATTCCTCATCAGTTCTGTGTCATGTCATTCCTCTGTCTTATGTAGTCCATTGATGTCAGATTCCTGGAAAGTAAAAAACACACACACAGAAATTGGGAAGAGAGAAGCTAATCATTGCAGGGCCTCTGCCAAAAGTTTTTGCTCTGTGTATCCAATTTTATATTCTTCATATCTATATTATTTTATTCAAGTCTGATTCCTGGCTGCCTTGCAGATCATTTGCATCTCTGCACAGTGATATAAAAGGCTTCCTCATTAATTGGGTAGCTTTTATATCTTCTCAGCACTCATGTTTCTCTGACATACATACCTATGCAAAATACAAGGCTTTGGAGGATCCAGCCCTTGTAGTTCATGCTTCATTGCCACAAGGTAAGTCAAAACAGCACTCGCACAAAATGTGGGAATGGGGAGTCATGGGGAGCATTCAGCATCCTCCTCCTGGCATCTGAAGATTACTGAAAGCCTGACTAGACCCAGGCAGAACAAGTCAGAGTAGTCCCCAGCTCTACTTCCCTGTGAGCCACTTGCCAGACAAGACCACTCTGGTTCAACTCGGAGCCTTGTCCCGTGCCCCAGCTCGCATCCAGTGGGGGAATGGTGGCACCGGTGGAGGAGTGCCAGGGGGAGCTGCCAGCTGGCTGCCGGAGGCGGCTTGGGATGAATGCTGCTTCCCATGGGTAGTGTGAGCTCTGCCCCGCACGGCTGTGCACAGGAGAAGCCTGTAGCAGCTGAGGATCTGGTCCTTCAAGTTAAAGGGGTTGGAATATGCATGAAGCATAAGGTGACATTTTGAGCGTCTCAGATCAGAGCATGGATGTTACTGAATTTAAAATGTAACTGCAATTTCCTGACTAATACCAAGTCACTTTTATATTCATGCAGTGATTGTTCTTTACTCTTTAAATAGCCCAATTTGCCCAGAGGTGCAGGTGATATCCTTATGATAATGAAGATATGTTATCCAGCACGGTACAGCTGAGGCTGTTGGTTGGTGCAAGGGCCACCTGTAATCAGATATGAATTGATTCTCAATTCATATAATGGTTTTGTAGACTGCTTGTGATTTGTTTGTCCAAAAAAAAAAGAGACAGGAAAAAAAAAAGTAAAGAGATGCACTGGAGGTTCAGTGTTGTTTTCTGTTGTTGTCTTTTACTTCCTGTAGCTAAGCTGTATTTACTGTGGCGTCTCCAAGTTTCTGAGTCCTTCCAGATAACACAGGCAGTTAATTGCTACAGTAGCCTTATACCTCTGTAAAGGGTCAGCCTGATTCTTTACATCAAGGGCTTTCTGTGATGAAGTGCACAGGATATTATAAATAAGATATTCAACAAGAATGAGATAAAATGAATTCATATGTTTACTATTCATTCAAAATAAAAACTTGCACACAGTAATCCACAGAAATCACAGGCAGGCTTTCCTGCAGAGTAAGAGCATCCCTAGTCTGGACATTTCTTGCACTTAGAGTGAAGGTGTAGAGGATGCAGCTGTAGCTGCAGCCACCACAGGGATAGGACAACATCTAGGGAAAAGGAAGGAACGAGGAAAGAGAGTTCTGTTCCTGGGTGGGCGCCCCTCTATCACCTTTCACCAACAGGTTAAGGTTCTGCTGCTGCATGGACCCTAACCCCTGTTTCCACACGGAGAGCAGCTGCAGCATGCAGCATCACTTCCCCAGGCTTTAGCAGAGGCAGAGCAGATGGGGGCTGGAGCAGTTCCACTGCTCCCAGGAGCCTGCTGCTTTAGGCTCCTGCTTGCTTTGCCTAAGAGCTGTCTGTAATGCCACCATTTACCTTTGGTTCTGCTTAGCACAAAAAAGGTTAGATGAGAGGCTGTGGTAATTACAGGAGTAAATTGTTATGGCACAGGAATTTGTGGAAGTGATGCTGAGGCCTCAGTCAGGAAGAGCATTTTAAGTGACATACCTGCTAATTTGCCTGAAAATAGCCTGCTAATAAAAAAAAAAAAAAAAAAAAAGTACTGCTGTCTGCATGCAATGAAACTCAACTCAGCGGTTCCTAGAAAGCTTAACTTGAAAGAAAGGCACATTTGGCATCCAGATGAGAGAGGTGCACAGGAGTCTCAACAGGTAATGTTTTGCTGTAACTCCTGGAATTTTTGTGCCTTTTTCATACCTCTTTGGCACAGACTCTGCCAGCCATCTGTGCTTTAAAGGCTGTATAGGGCCTGTAAAGTGTGGTTGCACTTGCAGCTGCTCTCCTTGCCCTATCTTTTTATCCATCTCTTAGCTGTGCACAATCTGATGTGTGACCAGGGCAGCTGCAATGAGTACCTTACACATCTATACTGTTCCCAACACAGGAGCCTTCAACTAGTAGTTTCTGATGCAGTAAAAATAATAATAGCAACAAGAAGTAGTATGATCAGTCATAGGTTTAACAGGGAATGGGATGCGTATGTTTGGAAAGAGCAGAGTGAAAGAAGGGAGAGAAGTTTAAGGGCCTCCAGGTGATGATAGCCTAGAGATTGATGCCTCAACATTTCTAGTTTAAAGAATTTGACAGAGAGATTCCGGCAGGTATTGTGTAATTTTATTTTAATATTTTTATTGCTATAAATAAGACTTGGTGTCTGATGAAGTAATCACCAGAACTGGAGTAAACAACACGCCTGCCAGTGATAAGCTGTTTCTTGTGACGACTCAGTGTATATCTGGATATTGCAAAATGTGGTACGTTTGATGTCTGTGCAATTCTGTTCTCCTTCTGGTTATTTTTACATGCATCTCCCTCTCTTTTTCTCTCCTGTGTACAGATGTTCGTATTCACCCCATGGAGCCTATGCCCAAAGCAAACTTGCCCTTGTGTTATTTACCTATCGACTACAGCATCTTCTGACTGCAAATGGAAGCCATGTGACTGCTAATGTAGTAGACCCTGGAGTAGTGAATACTGAGCTCTACAAGCATGTCTTTTGGGTTGTGAAAGTGGTCAAATGGATGACAGCCTGGCTATTTTTCAAGGTATTCTGTTTTTAAAATAATTTTGTTGCTGTGCCCCTGCATTGTGAAAGCTGCAGTTGGCCTGGAGCTGAAGGTGTTTCAGAGTTGATAATAGTGTATGGTATTTATTGCATTTCTCTGTGCTGATGAGATGTACAAAATCAATAAAGACAGGCTTTCCAGCAAACAAACATTTATTTTAAATGGAGGGAGCGAGCTGTCACAGTAGGGAAAGGGAATGCCTTTCACAGTCTTTGCCTATGCACTGGTAATCTCTGCCCTGATCTATCCACGTGCTTCTGTGCGTGCACGGGGGCAGGACATCACCCTGACGTGGAGCCAGAATATGCAAAGTGTTCCTCAGAAATGACTTGTTCATTCTCTTAAAGAGAAGCAGACATGATCTGGCATGGTCTACATGTACACAACATGTTACAGAGAGGAGGGCAAAGGGAGGAAGAAAGCTGTACAAAAGTGGCAGTGGGAGGTGGCTGTGCTCCAGGATGTGAGCTCCAGACACTTGTGCTCAGGGAGGCGGGACAATTTTTAATTAGGTTTTTCATTCTAAAACCTACTTGTAATGGTACTTGATTTTTTATTATCCAATCTTGGTCTGCACTAGGAAACAAAAAGTTGTTTAATAAAACTCATCCAGAAGTGGGGTAGACTCAGTTATAGGTAATGTTTTGTAGGGGTGTAAATAGATTAAACTGAAATCAGTTTAGCTGTGTAGGTGAAATCTCCTCATGCACACAGGCCTTTGAAGGGCTTGTGCTGAGAAAATGTACTGCTTATAGCTCGTTCAGAAAGTAGTTTTGGATTAAGTAAATGGAACCTGATTCCATTAGAGAAAATTAAATATCCTAATTAAAATGAAGTATTTTACATCAAGGAGCATGTCCCACAAAGCAAATTAATTTTAAACTTTGATATGGAAATATCAGTTGCTTTCATTTTAGAAATGAACTGGAGGCTGGAAGAATGACTGCAAAATAAGATGCAAACAAATAAACCCATATTTAAAAAAAAAATAGATTCTTCTGAGTGCATCTTGAATATTGCAATAGATTTGTAATAAGAATGCTCATAATCTGTAATGCATTCTTAAAGAAGCAGACTGCAGCTTTGCCAAACCATGTACATGAAACCTGTTTTCCCTCTTGTGATTGCCATTTTAAATACCAGTCTTGGGTGGCAGTGTTTTTTCGTTGATCTTGCTTCACCTTCCTAATATAAAAGTTTAATGTAAATTTTAAGTTGTGCTTAGAATTTCTTCTAGAGAAACAAAATTCTGACTAAATTCTTGCATCTGAGAGTGAGTTTCAAGTCTCTTGTTGTTTGCAGCACTCAGTCACTCCCAGTTTTATTGATGTGCCCAGGAGACATTTTTGTATTATACTGGTGTTGTTTAGACACTGAATTGGATGTTATTGAACATTTAGAATGATTTATCGCAAGAGGAAATCCCATTCTTACAACTCTAACAGTCCTGCCACTGATAGTTCCTGATAATTTCTTTCTTCTTTGGATGTGATACTGCTCAAAAGAAATTCTGCCTTGAAATAGGTGACAGACAGACATACTGATCTGTATGGAAGAGCCATGCCTGTACTGTCTGAAAAGCAAATGCATCAATTGCTTTCTGAGTCAGAATAACCTCAGCTTTCCGTATCTGAATGCTTCAGCTATCGAGGTTGAGATTTTCACATTTTTGTCTAACACTCAATGTGTTTTTCCCAAAAGCCAGAGGAGAGGGAAATTCTTACTTTCTCCCTTCCCATCCTCTCTTAGACCTCTGACTACTCCAACTTCTACTCTTTGCTTATTGGTTAGGATATATCTGGGTGTTCAGGAGTGCTTCATCCCAGAGGAGCACCCTGACTGGCATCACAAGGAGACGTTTAGCTCCACAGCAAGCTCACATTGAAAGCCTGCCTGGCAATTTTAATAGTGCTCTGCTAAGGGCTGTAGTATTCAACATTCAAGCCTATGTGAGTCTTGTGTTGGTCTCGTGCATTAGGGCAAATTTCCCCTGAGAAAAGTAAGAAAGCAAATACAAGAAAATTCAGTTGTCTGGTAATATTAGCTGATAGTTGGTAGTATGGATTTTTTTTCTCCCCTGGAATTTTGTTCCTGAGCACTTATATGAGTCTTCCTTCTAGGATTATGGCAGTAATGCAGTGAAAATGAGGTGATAGCTCTCTAATCATATTGACTTAACTAACTATTGTCACCCTGAAGTATTCCAGAGTGGGTTCTAAATGTGTGCTGGAAATTGCTTCACTCACTGCAACATGGCACTCTTGAGAGCCAGCACAGCCCAGAGAGCTTCAGTGAGGAAATGCATCACATTGCATTCCCTCAGGAGAGAGTCAACATCTTGTTTGATTTAATTTCAAAATAAAGTGGCAGAGCCCCCACTACTTTTCAATGCATTTCTGCCAGCACTGGTGCCAGTCATATTCAAATTAAATACCTCTTTGGGACTGCAGCCTGGCCCCCACCTTCGCTGGGCTGCTCATGTTTGAGGCAGCTCAGTGTGGCAGACAAGGCTGTTAGCTCAACATCTGCCTCGGAGCTGCCTCAAGATATTTAGGTACTTAAATGAATAAACCTACAATCTTGTAAATGGGCCATGATACGTATGCATAATTAACTCAAAGTATTAACAGCTTTATTTTCTTTAAATTGCAAAGCATTATCTTCTAAACTTATATATATGGCTCAGAAAAGTCTTGGCCAAATCAGTTTGGTGTTTTTCCCCCCACAAGTTGCAGTGAAAGGCATTTCTGTAGAAATAAGATAGGCCAAACGAAAGGTTCTGGTGACAGTCATAAAATTTGTGACGTTGGTGCCTGCCCTTTAGAAGTGACGTTTTCATTCTTTCTCAGCTCAATTCTTTCTCAGAAAATTTATTGTCTGCTGTGGTACTCTAAATTTGCACTTTGCAAATGTTTTATCTGTATTTTTCATAAACATGGACTGCACCTGTCACACAAGAGACAAATTATTACTCAAAAAAATATATTTCTATCCCTATGATTTTTTGGTAAATAAAGCCTGATGAGCTGACACAGTCCTCTGCAGAATGCAATGAAGTATGTTATCCTTTCATAATTTTTAACATAAATTCATCTTCTTTTTGAAGAGATAAAGTCCAAACTAGTAAACAGTAACTAATTAATGCGATAGTAATAACTTGAAAAGTCATTCATTGAGCGTCAAACTGCAATTTAGCTCAGTGTACAACACACCAGCTTTAGCATTGGGTACTGTGCAGGCTGGAAACCAGGAAGTACCATTTCCCTCCCAAGTATTTCTGCATCTCCAGCAGATATTGAATATTCATTCTTAAACCAGATGGTCTCTGCTTGTGATACAATTAAAATGCCTTAGAGCAAAACAAAAAAGTTGACTCTCATTAATGTCCGATAACAGGAACTGTTCTGCTTCGTATGACTTCATTATGGCATCAAAGTAGAGACATTTGACAGACAGCAGTGTTGTAAAGTTCCCCAAAACCTTGTTTATGACAAGCTTGGTGAACATGTCATTACCAGATATAGAGTATTTGGTCCTTTCAGCCAGCTCAGATTGGTATTTAGGAAGGCATTGTGGAAGGAAGGCTTTGCATCAGATCCTGTCTCAGCTGTCATTTCCAAAGACATAGTGCCAGATAAGTGATTATTGACTGACAAACTGAAAATGAGTAGGATTAGTGACCCTGCCAGCCTGTAAAAATGGAGGGAAAGGCTTCAGGAACACGGGCTAGGTAGATATCAGTCAATATAAACTAATTAATTTCCTTCACCTTGTCAAAATAAGCTCAACATTAGTGTAATTTTCCTATAACATTTTTTAAAAAATGCTTCCAGTCAGTAAGCACATCTAGAAAACAAGATCTAAAGGACCTGGACTCATCATTCATGCCAGAGGACATAGTCATGCAGGTCTTACTGCAGCATTTCTTATTCAAACTGTCCCTTTGGCACTGTGAATATAGTAAATTCATTTCATCCTACCCCCCAGGTGTCAGAAGACAAACACATCACCACACAATAACACCAGCTGTAAGAGAATGAGAGTAATTAAATCCCACAGCTGAAAGCAGCAATTCATCAGCATCAACATTTTCTGTGCATGAGAGTGTGTGGTTCTCACATAAAGCTAATCTGGGCCTTTCTCACAAAAATGAAAACTTGCAGAAACGTATAATTTGCAGTTAATTTTTACAAAAGGTTTTTCTGGTCAAAAACATTGAGAAGAAAACAGTCTGCTTGAATCCAGTAACACTGGTCTTTCAGCAGATATAATTTTGGATACATTGGTACAGGGATTTAAGCTTTCAGAGCCATAGGTGCCTTTTTCCATCTGTTAAGTATTTTATTATTTTACAGCCATAGAATGATTCTAGAGGGAAAGATGAGGGAACCAGCCTGAGAAGGCGAATGAATAATCACCTGTTTAATTCCTAAATCCTGATGATCTGGGTTTTCTTCCCATGTGAACTCCTGGACTTGGTTAAGTATCCAGGTCCTGCCTGTTATGGGGTGTGTGGATGGAGCTTGGCTGCTTTATTTATTGTAACTGCTGAGCACAGAGCCTTCTGAACACAGGGCCCTGTGTGTCTGTTCCCAGTCAGATCAGACCCCTCTGAGGTAGGCTGGACCCCACTGCACACATAAATAGCATTGGACCCTTTTCTCCACTGAACCTGTGACCCCCTGCATCCCAAGATATTACTATTTTTCTGCATGTTTTCTAAGCTCTAAGTGGTTAAAATATTTATTTGAAGGGACACGTTGAGAGTTGTGACAGGTTGTTTTGATGGCAGGAAAATGAAGGATTTGTGTTGCTTGCCTCAGTGTATGGCACACAAAGGAGTGTATAGTTGCTGTAGAAGACAGAACAAAATGGGTGGGATTATGTCACAGTGCATCACAGGGAGTCAAAGATGTTGAAGTTCTTGTTTATAACTTATTTGGAGCAGCTGCTGATGTAATTTATCCCCATACCACACC